CTGTTAACTTATGTGGCAGCACCTGATGCACACAAAGAAAGAAAACACCAATAATACATTGTAATGTGAGAAAAAGATGATAACCTCAAATGACACACACACACACACACACACACACACACACACGCAGACACACTCTCGAGAGGTCCGAGGGCGTGCGGGATAATAGCTGGTAATCCCGTCGGCAAATGGACTCAAATGAGGCGAGCGCGCAGGAAGCTAATTAAGGCGCCTCCCGACACAGGCGGGATTACGCCGTATTAGCATAAGCGTGAAAAGCTAGCGGCCCGTTTAGGTTGAAAAGAAGAGAAAGTGCAACGGTGGGGAGGCGGAGTTAATGGGACGGGGTGAGCCGCGACGGACGGGACAAAGCGCCGTGTTTGCTTTCCTCGTTAGCAACAGCTGGTTAGCATCAATACCATAAGCTCGCGTTCGCATTGGGTCCTCGTTCATGCCTTTCGCGCAGGGACCTGTCACTGAAGAGCTGGTGTTTATCCACCTCTACTTTACCATCGAACCCAGCGATTTTTCTTTCATTCCATAAAAGGAAAATTCAGTACAAGAATATTAAGTCAACCTTCCTGATAGCCATCCGAGCTCATTCATCACTCAAGCGCTGTCCCATCTAATGGATGGCGGCAGTTTTCCTTCTCAAAGCGCTCGGGCGTGACGGTGGCCAATCAGCTTGTCCGTGCCGCTGCTCATTTGCATATTCATCGAGGTTCCGTTAACACGCTGACAAAATGCGTTTTGATAAGATCGATGTGGTAGTTTTTCCTCCCTCTGATCGATTCCCCCCCACCGGGAAAACAAAGTCTGACGGGAGAAAATGGAATTAGCGGCAGCAGCGGCGGGCCATTGTTGTTGTTTTTAATAAATGGAGGCACCTTGACGTGCCTTGATTCATTGACATGCCAACACCTTTAAATTGCAATCAGCGTGAACATGGCGCTAATTGCAGCCTATTGGCGGCATTTTGCATTGAAGCTTTCACCATTTGCAAAGCGCTGCAAGGGCCCGTTCATGAAAAACGAGCCTCTGTCAACTGTTTCACAGATAAACATGAAAGTGGCCGGACACATCTAACACAATAGGTTGCACGAAAAAGTCTCAAAGACCTATCCCTGAAACTGAACAGGAAATCGTCCATTTTGCTTGGACGGTTTCAAAAATTCGCCATGAAAACGAGGTTGCCGATGTCCCCTTCATGGCAAAAAAAACAAAATCATCCCCAACACCAAATGTATGAATAACATTGAAATTTGGCTGACTATTCCATTAGGAAGTTGGCCATTTGACTTTGGAGATCTTCAAGACCCCGAGACGCCTGTTGCTGAAAAATACATCCCCAGCACCAATTTTACAAATCCACACGACATTTGTTTGACCGCTGAACACAAAACTCAGCGTCAGTGCCAATTTTCTTCAGACCGATACCAGTGCGAGTTCTCGCCGATACTGATAGCCCAAGTGCTTCGAATACATACAATCTCAATTAACACAATCACGGATACTTGTGGACAAAGTCCTTTCTGTCTTTCTGACGCACATGATGATCCACCCACGTCGCCCCAACCAAAGGCAAGGAAGACTTCACCAATACCTTGAAATGAAGCCGTATCGGCCCAATACCGATAGCCGAATCCCCAGTTTTGAGGATCCAGCATGAAATAATATCAACTATTTTGTTCCATTGTTCCTTTGCAGCTGAAAAGGGGAGCAGCAGTAGCAGCATCGTGCTGAAGCAGGCCGAGATGGAGTACCGGGAGGGTCCGCGGGGGCGCTGGAGTGAGTGCCACGTGGAGCTGACGCCCTGCGAGCTGCGCCTTTACACGTTGGACAGCAGCGCCAA